TTTTTTTTTTTTTTTTTTTTTTTTTGAACTGGAAATTGAAATTACAATCTGCCTACACGCGGTGTCGAAAAATATATACTTCTCTATAATATTTATTGAATTTATTATGTGTCGGTAAGATGCAAACTCTTGCTTAACTGTATATACGAATCGTGGTCATTCTGTTTTTATTAGACATCGGTATTATTTCTTTAGAATTTCTTTTTCATTCTGACAGACTCTGTTTATATTATTTTATTCTACGTTATATATATTATATAATACAATACTATATTTATAGTGTATTATACATCATAATAGAAACTATGAAAAATACATCGAGTATTTAATTGTTTGATACGTAAAGGGCATTTATTAGTAATAAATATCCTGTTCAAGTTCGAATTATTTGAAAATGTTCGAATTATTTGAATAATGAGATACATACAGTTCCTACGTATACTGCTGTATAAGTTTGGATGATTTCAATGAACGAAAGCACAGTTTCGACTGTTATCGTTAGTTTAAATAAAGGTAAGAACATCTCGTGGAGTTTGAAAGCGTTTCTACTTGATAAAATCTACGGTTGACTGGTTAGGAAAAAGCTAGCTTGGCCAATATGGAAAGTTACGTGTAAGAAATGTTAGGCAACATTAAAAAAAAAAAAAAAAAAAAAGAAAAGAAAAGGAGAAACACGCAACTTTGGGGTTTCGGGGTTTTTGGTTCCAAATTGTAGCGAGCGTAAAATCCTTGCGACTCGTTCTCAAAGCAATTTACATTGGTGAAATAAGAAAAAAATTTTTTTAAAATTATATTAGAAACATTATAAACTGCCATGTATGAAAAATAATGTATTAGAAATAGCCCGATACTTTTGAACTGGAATTCTTCTATCTATCTTATTACAAATCGCTATACCATCCAAGTTAATCAAAAGTTATTATGAAATTCCAATCTTTTCCATTACTTTCTACTCGCTTAACCCCGTTACGTTTCCTCCCAATTATTTTCGACCCAATTGCTACTTTTCCAACGATGAGAGATACCTTTCGTTCGTTCGAACAAATTGCACACGAAAGAAAGGAACGTTACCGGTATGCACGACTTACGTGCCAAGTTTTCCCAAAAACTTGCTTGCTTACTGTTTGCAAGAGAGATCCAGGAGCAAGATTCAACTATAAAAAT